ACTGCTCAGTGTCTGTTTTGCTTCAGTTTTCATACAAAAACCAACATGTGAGCGGGCGACCAGTGAAGTTACCACGGACAACAAAGGGGAAAGGCTGCAGATCAGTATAAGTAAAGAACACGTCAGAGATGTTCCGACCAATTTGAATGAATTCAGATCAGTGGGGCAGGAAGCTGTTCAACCCAGGGTGCTGAACGAATTAGTCAAAGAAATCTTGGAGCCACTGGCAATAATATTTGCAAACTCATGGATGCCAGGAGAGGTCTCAGAAGACGGGAGAAGGGCTAACAGAGTGGCCATCTTTTAAAGGGGAAAAAAGGAGAAGCCGGGAACTATAGACTGTTCAGCCTGACCTCGACACCTGGAAAGCTACTAGAGCAATGTATAAAACCTTCAATTTGTGAGGACAAAAGTGTAAGCACCAGCATGGATTTACCAAGAACAAACCCTGCCAAACCAGCTTGGTTTCCTTCTTTGACGAGGTAACTGGTTGGGGGCCGGAGGAAAGCGGTGGACATTATAATAACTCGACTTCAGCAAGACTTTTGACACAGTACCACATGACATTCTCATAAGTAAACTGGAGAAGACTTCTGACGGAACTCAAATGTCAAATTGCAGAGCAACTAACTATCATTTAAATCAGCTTGTGTAACAGATGACTGGAGGATGGCTAATGTGACACCAATTTTTAAAGAAGGCTCCAGAGGTGATCCCGGCAGTTGAAGGCCAATAAGCCTAACTTCAGTGACAGGCAAACTCATTAAAATCATAGTCAAGTGAAACTATAGTAAAGAACGGAATTATCAGATGCATAGATTTGTTGGGGAAGACACATCAATGACTTAGATATTGGCATAGAAAGTACGCTTATTAATTTTGCAGACAATACCAAACTGGGAGGGGTTGCAACTGCTTTGGAGGATAGGGTCATAATTCAAAATGATCTGGACAATTTGGAAAAATGGTCTGAAGTAAATAGGATGACATTCAATAAGGACAAATGCAAAGTGCTCCACTTAGGAAGGAACAATCAGTTTCACACATACAGAATGGGAAAAGACTGTCTAGGAAGGAGTACTGCGCAAAGGGATCTAGGGGTTATAGTGGACCACAAGCTAAATATGAGTCAACAGTGTGATACTGTTGCAAAAAAAGCAAACATGATTCTGGGATGCATTAACAGGTGTGTTGTGAGCAAGACATAGCAATGTTTGAATAGCATTTAGGAGTCAACATACAGGTGGTGCTGTATGCCATTAAAAGCGGATGGGGCTTTTTTTAAATCGGGGGCCCTGTGTACCCCAAGACTTTTTCATCCTGTTGCACGATGAGCATTACTATGTGGTTCTGGATCTGAAAAAGTTGTACGGGGTGAAAAATTATTGTGAGTTTTGCCACACGGTGTACAGTCATGACCACTCTTGCACGTATCGTTGCTGCCTCCGCTTGAGCATAACGTGCTCGGACAGCGTCGGCTTGCAGCTGAGGTGTCCTAGCTGTAGACTGTATTGTCGCTCCAAAGAGTGTTTAGACGGACACGTCGACCGTGCATTGAAAAACAAGTCGAATGCCTGTCCAAAACTTTGTGTGATCAGTGTCAGTCTGACGTGGACAAGGGGCACAGGTGCAAAGGGAGGCTGTGTAAGCAGTGTCAGGGTTTGATCACCGGTGATGTAGACAGCCACCTCTGTTTTATGGATAGCATTAGAAAGCCCAAATCATCGGAAAAGTGTATTTTTTATTATTTTGAATGCACGCAGAAGACTGGGCTGCACATGCCCTATTACATTGTTGTAATGTCCCTAAAGCTGGAACAATCCTGGGAATTTAAGGGCAGTGAGTGTCTTTCTACCTTTGTTAAGACCTTGGGAAAGAGTTCTGGGACTGCATGTTCCTAGCGCACGGTTCAAAAGGTTACGATGAGCACGTCGTCATTAGACCGTTACTGGAGGAAAAGATGTGCATTCTGAGGCAGGTTTTCTAACCGTTTCATCATTCTCCTGCCTCCCCTCTGAGCCCCCCTCAATGCTCAACGTCCTTCTGGAACTGCGGGCACCAGAACAGGACATGGGATCCCAGCAGCGGTCGCACCAGGGCCACATCCAGAGGGAAAATCACGTCCCTGCTCTGACTCCAGAGCCCACTGTTGATGCACCCAGGACGACCGCAGCTGTTTTGGCCGCAGCATCGCACCGGGAGCTCATGTTCAGCTACTTACCCAGCATCACCCCCTAATTGTTGTCAGAGTCCCTGCTGCCCAGGAGAGCGTCCCCCGTCCTGTAAGTCCGGCTGACACCTTGTGTTCCTAGGTGGACATGTTGACATTTAGCCCTATTAAAACACACATTGTTTGCTTGTGCCCAGTTTACCAAGCGACCCGGAGTGCTCTGTGGCAGTAACCTGGCCTCGTCATTATTTGCCACTCCCCGCATCTGTGTGTCATCTGCAAACTGGATCAGGGCTGATTTTATATTGTATTGAAGGCCGTAGAAAAAGGTGTTAATGAATGTTAGGCCAAGGACAGTTCTCTGTGGGTTCCTCTGGAAACACGCGCTCACTGCTTATCCCCTGGTGACAGTTGCCTCTGAAAATCTAGCAGCTAGCCAGTTAGCCAGGCATGATGGGGCCCTGAGCTCGGCCAGGGTTTCCAGAGCATTGTTGCAATACAAATCACACGCACACATAGGGCCTTACTAGTTCCCCGTCCTGATTTTCACACTGTTGCTAAAGGCAATGGCGGTGATGTAATATCCATCGCCGTCCGTAAGGAGTTTCACTTTGCACCACTCAACATTTTGATTAAAAAACTAGAAGAATACGAAATTACCGTGAACCAGATTTAAAACTGTCTAACTGTTAGCGAGAATGAGTCCTGTGAGTCCGTGACAGTTGGGTGCTGCCCAGACACAGCAAGAGACAGGCCTTGCCCCAGTTGGGATCAGGGCTGTCAGGGTTCCCTCCCCACTCTGAATTCTGGGGTACAGATTTGGGAACCCGCATGAAAGACCCCCTAAGCTTATTTCTACCAGCTTGGGTTAAAAACTTCCTCAAGGCTCAAATCCTTCCTTGTCCTTGGACGGTATCGCTGCCACCACCAAGTGAGTAAGACAAAGACTCAGGAAAAGGACCACTTGGTCCTCAAAATATCTCCCCAAATCCCTTCACCCCCTTTCCTGGGGAGGCTTGAGAATAATAAACCAACCAAAAAGGTAAACAAGGTGAGCAC